GAGTTGACAGTGGTGTCATTAATCAATGATCCAATGTTGACTGAAGGTCAACTTATCTCAAAAACTTGTAATTTTCTTTGTAGCCTCTTGTAATGCACTTGGATTTTTTTAATGAACATATGTTGTAGCACTTGAAATGGTGATGGATTTGGTAAAGAATCAAGTTTGAATCACTTTCTTCTAATGCATTCACTTGTACTTTGAATGCCTTGTGAACTTTGACCAAGTAATCTTGCATGGAGTCCTAAACCATGTGAGACTCTAGCTTGCAATGTATATCAAATCTTGCATAGAACTTGTAACTCAAGCAACGATTGAGATACTCTGGAATGGCATGATTCACTAATGAACAAGCTTCACCAAAACCCCTATTGAATAACACTTATTTGGGGAAATAAACTCTAGTCAAGTGACAATGATGAGCACAAAGAGATGATGTTTGTAGACTCTCCATGATCTAGCTCATGGTCTCTTGGATGATATCTTGGGATAACATGTATTACAAGCAATAATGAGCATTTCATGTGTTGAAGGAAGCTAGAGAAAATTCAGGAGAATAACTTTAGATGACATATATCCAAGTCTTTGTAGATTCATCATATGACCTTGAGTATAAAACCTTGACTTAGAACCAAACCATGTGAAAGAAAGAGGAAACCCTAATGCCTAAGTGGACCCTTAATCCCATGATCATTGATTCCAAATACCAAGCCTTGTTGTTAATAAATGTACGTAATGTTAGATGACCTAATGAGGGGTATGTACATGATGATTACGAGATGCATAAGCCAAATGTTTCTTTATAGAATGGTAGGACAAATTTGGGGTATTACACCAATTCCAGTGATTGCAACAATTAAAACTCAATTTAAAATATCATGCTTCAAATATAATAACTTAAACTCTTGCTTAAAAGCTTCGAGTGAGAACAATACTCAACTCATTGCCTAAAGGCTTCTAAGTGAGGATAATAACTTGACTAATAGTCAAGCAACAATCAGTCGACCATATATTATTAAAAGATACATTGGTGACTTACAAACTACACAAGAGACTCTCAAAATCTAAGACTTATGCTTCCCTTAAGTTTACAATTGTTGAAAACTTAAATTACATCAGGTTAGGATTCTCCTTTAAATACAACTCTGCAGTCCATGGGCTTCGATATTCTGAGTCCAAAATTTTCTTGATCCACAAGCGGAGTGATGCACCAATTGTGTATCAAATCTCCTTAAATCTTGAAACCACCAATACATAGTTTCCTAATTTCTCCCAAGGCCCAAATTAGTATCTTTTGTACATCTGTAGATATGAAACATGTTCCAAAACAAATATTCTTGACCTGCGAAAGTATCTTATATATCCAAAAGAAATATAACAAAATCAAATGAAATCATCCAAGATTTAAAAACAACAGCGCCTTTACTACTGCATAATAGAACATGATGTCATGACATCTTGTTTGACATTTGGTAAGATCCGTGTTTTAACAAAATGTTACCAATCCACATAACCATAGTACTAATAAATTTATTCTTCGTAAAATTAACAAAATGATGTATTTCATTCTTCTTGGGATTATCCACTTTATTTTTTCCATGTGAGAATATTTCCTTAGCGGTTGTTGATGTTGATTTTGATCATGGTGTTGTTGATTATGTTGATAGTTCTTATGTAGTTATTATGATATTTGTTGAGACTCTTATTGATATTGTTATGGGTATTGCTACTTATTTTGATATGGTTGTTAATGCTAATTTTGATATGGTTTTCATTTTAGATTTTAATATGGTTGTTGTTGTCGTCTCTGATTATGATTATGATATCATGATTGATATTGTTGACTTAGATTTGATCCATTCCTAGGGTTGCCACTCCACCTTAAATTTGAAGGGTTTCACCATGTTGGTGCTTATGTGCTTGAAAAGGATTATTTATCTAATGTTTTCTCATGCAGTTAGCTTCTTTATCATTGAAACCTTCAGAGTTGCATTGGCCATTTTCATGGTCAACACTGCCATAGTTACATATAAAATCGTGTTTCCCTTGTTATATCAATTTTACCTAATGATATCCCCTGTGGGAAGCAACTAATTGTCTGGTCTGAGTCTCCGATTATGCTTACATTTACTTTTGGCTTGCTAGCAATGTGATTTGAGTGTCAAATTATATGTTTCCTCTACTTCCATGGTCTCTTTCTAATAACTCTCAGTACTTATTTTGTGCCATATTCTCGACCAACTCCTTCACATTCTATCAATTTTTAGCATGATAGCTCCAACTGAAGCATCCTATAAAATTGTTGAAAGTGTAATTCCTTGTGTCGAAGCATGTTGTTGCCCGATCACAAGGTGTGTCGAAGTGTGGTAAACAGGTTGCTACATACAAATTTGATTTAGGTGTAAAATAGGTATTTTGTACTTTTATAGTTTTGGTCTTTTTGGCTTAGGGAGAATGCAAGCTAAGTTATAATAGAGGGAGTAACCCCTGTTTTTGTAACCAACTCATAACATTGAATATTCACATAATTTTCAGTAGCAAGTGAATAAAGATTTTTCACAGTTTGTGGGAAGAGAGGTAATTTTATTCAATATTTTCTATATTCTATTCTATGTTAATAAGTGGTGGTATTGTTATCTTTTTTCAATTTCTCATTGTCGCATGATAATCTTTGGTTGGATACTTGTTTTACTTTGAAAATTAACAACCTAATATTTTACTGATAAACAACAAGGGTCTGCCCCCTCCCTCATTTTAGCAATTATGTTTTTCGATTATTTATAATTACTATTTCTATTTATTATTATTATTATTATTATTATTATTATTATTATTATTATTATTATTATTATTATTATTATTATTATTAAAAGATAGTAGGAATTGACAATTAGTTATTAGGTTTAACATTAGCTTTTAGTTGTAAAACTTCACTATAGCCACGTTAGTGTTTTTAGGATTTAGGTTTAATATTTTTATCATTTTATATTCTTTTGTTTTTATTCCGTTTTATTTTTTCATATAAATCTAACACAACCTTTTTTAAATTAAAACAAACATATTCTCAAACTTAAATCAAATTAATCCAAAATAGTTAACCCATCAAATACTGACTTTTTCTACTAACTTAATTTCAAATTCTATTTATTTTTTCAAAAATGATTGTTAATCTATTTTATATTAACTGCGAACTGCGTCTATGATTCCGCTATTTTCAACTCAGACTTGGCTCAAGGATTAATTTCAAATATTTTCACAATCCATAAAAAAAATAACCAAACACTTCAAACTACGAATTGAGACTCTGATTTCTCATAAGACGATATGTAGGCATGCGGCTTAAAAAACGAGGCGAGTTCCCCTAATTAAAATACTAAAACCCTTTTTTCTCAAATATATTAATAGCCCTTGAAAACCATATCCTACTCTTTTAACCTAAACCCTAAGACTTCCTTGAGAACAAGGTAGGTGAGGGGTGCCTAACACCTTCCCTTCGTCTAAAGTGAGTCATGAACTTAGAATCTTTGTACAATTAGGGTTACTCCATTATTCACTTGTCGTTAGGACATAAAATAATGGTGGCGACTCGTTATTGTTTTCCGGTTACGACAACAGGCGACTCTGCCCAGGACTCAACCCTAGGGCTTAGAAGTCTCTCCTTTTTTGGTTTAGGGTTTTTGTTAGGGTTTTTATATTTTTGGTGTTTTTCTATATTTACTTATTTTATTTATTTATTTTGTTTATTTTATTTTTTTTATATTATTTTTGTTATCATATTATTCGTTGTGGAGGGATTATATTTCCAAATTCAAAAATAATATCAACCCTTAGAAAGAAGGTTCTTCTATTGGCCAAGGGGATATATCATCCATATGATTTTTTGTGATGACTTCGCCTAGAGTCGGTGGAATTCTGAAAAAAGAATATGTCTCAAGAGCTAGACTTTTGGAGGATAGTGTTGTACCCCAAAATTTTTCCTCCTAATTTCTTTTATTTGGCTTAGGCTTGGCATTGCATTTACATCTTACCATTAGTTCATCTGCACTAACATGGCTACATTTATATTCAATAAAGCGCCTGAGGTTTGAAGTTCGGTGGTTGCGTAAGTTAGGGTTTTCATCTCTTTTGAGGTGTACATATTAAATAAGACTATTTCTTCTGATTTTCTCTTCAAGTAGTGAAGTATTGGGATTAGGGTTTGGGTTTGGTTTGATTTTGATTAAAATTTTCGGGACATTGTGATGTTCATCAAGACTTTGATTCATGCTAAGCATTGAAAGAATCATGTATTTGGATTTCTTATCAAGCAAGTAACTTGGGTCTTAAGTCACTTTATTGAGTCCCTCCATTTCATTCATTCAACATTATTCATCATGTTCGGTTTCATCAACTATTTTTGAAGGCCAAGCAACTCATTTATTTCAAGTTCATATGTCATGGAAATTTCAAATTCAATATTCAATGATTTCATGATCATTTCAAGTTCTTTTCGAATTCAAGATCAAATGTTCAAGCTTATGTTAAGGCTAAGAAACACGTTATTTCATGCCATTTCAAGCTACTAAGTATGAACATGTCCAAGATGTGCAAACATCATTCAGGATGGATTTTCATTTGGTAAAAGGTGAGGCATTTTCAATTGTTGCAAATCAATCCAAAAGAGATTCAAATTTGGTGCAAAGTGGTAGAATGTTACTTGATCCAATACATGCCCCAAGGTGGTTCAAAAGAGGGATTCAAATCCAAATTCAAATTTCCAAGATACAGTTACATCACAAGATATTACATTCAAGGTTCAAGTAACAAGGATCACTACATTGCATTAATGATCATCCAAAATTTGATAAAAGACTTTGAAAATTCAAATGAGGAGATTTAGAGGGGAAAAGAAATCCATTACAATTTCAAAATTATTACAAATTCAAAGCAGTGTTACAAGAAATTAACATGGAAAACAATATGTAAAATAAACCTAAAGCTAGTCTTCAACAAGAAACTCCATGCTAAACTTCAAAATCCTCCATGCCTCAATTTCTTCATGTCACAGAACTAGCTGCACATACAAACCATTATCCTGCAGTCATGAAGAAACCGCCCTGCATCAGTTTCGGAAAAAACGGAAAGATCTCAAAAAAGAACCAGTATCTGGTACCCCGTGTTACAGGCCTGTGTACTCACGCCAATATTTTTCCGTAATCGTGAACTAGTAGCAGATCTACTACGCCATCAGAGCACCATTAAAACATGAGTTCTTGTGCCTCAATCATCTGCAACAGACCTGCTGCAACTTTATGCTTCAGCCATAATAAAACCTGCAAGTCAAATAACCAAGAACAATATAAATTACATCTTATTATGCAGTCACCAAATACGAATCAAGTGAAAAATTCAATATCCACATCAATGATAAACCAAAAGAGATTTTAATTAAAAAAACACAGTTCCATTTCCACACTGTATAACAGAAAGTCAGAAGGAAATTATGAAACTCAAAGGTAGAAATTGGAAAAAAAAACCAACACAGAATGATTCAATTTTTGGCTCAGTTCAAAGCAGGAATTTTCATCAGGAAATTCAGAAAGAGAAGCAATCCAGTTCACAAAAATGGGTCATATAAAAACTTGAGACAAAACTTAACATAAAAGATCCTAACCAATTGTTTTTGCTCTCAACCGTTTTTCACCTTCACCTAGCAGTTAGCAAACTCTTCACTAACATTTTCTAAAAGATCTTAATAGAAGCTAACATAACTAACTTCATAATAACCAACTGCTAGCTAATGTAACAGAATTTCAACTATTTGTAACTAACTCTCTCTCACTCAATCCCTTGTAACTAACTTTCTACCAAGCTAACAAAAAGATAAAAGAGAATTCTCACCTCTTTTAGATTCATTCTTCAACACCCTGAAGAATCACCAAAAACACTCTTTCTTCCCCTCTCTTCTTCATCTTCATTGTTCTTCAATCACCACCTCCAAGCTTCATGTGAATCACCATAACTAGAACCTTCATCTCTTAACCTTCAATCATCTTATCCATAACCTTGCTCTTCAATCTCATTCACCACGGTCCATCTTCACAAAAATCTTCCAGAAAGCTCTCTTTGATCTCTCTCTGAATCTCAAGCGTTCATCGTCTTTAAACAGAGTTTATTTCTCAGTCTCTTTTTCTCTATACAATCAACAAGCATTCACAGAGACACATAGAATCAAAACGAAAAAGCATAGAAGAGAAGGAGTAAAAGAAGGTGAAATCAATAACGACGAGGTTGAAAAAGGTTTATCGTACCTTAAGATTCAAGCTCCTCCCGACTCTTTCATCATCATCTTCAGCGTAACAATCTCCGATGAAGGCAAGTTTCAAGATTCTTCTATCTCTTCTTGTTCTCGTCGATATCGTATTTCGCTGCTGAACCTAGGGCCTCCACCAATTCCGTCGGTTTCACTTTTTGATTTGAGATGAAATTAAGGGGAATCCGCTGCGCACCACTACCAGAAAGAAGTCGCACAAGAAGAATTCGAAGAAGGAAGACTCGCCATTCTGTCACTACCCCAAGCTCCACCGTGAGATAAGCTTCATCTCATCGCTACTTGTTTTTTGATACCGCGGAGTAGAGCATGCTCCTCTGATATTTAACCTCCAAGATCTGTGGCCGCCGCGGAATGGAAGAAATAGAAGGAGCCTGTCCACTGATCATTGAGAGAGAGGGTGGACTTTGTGTGAAGAAGCTCAATCCTTACCATTTTTCAACCATATCCCCAATTATCAAAACGACATTGTTTATAAGTTGAACAAAATCCGAATGAAAAGTGGATTTGGTGTTAGTGGTGGATTTGGATCGAGTCCATGGATCTCTCAGGCCCATTCGGTTTCTTTGGAGTGTTTTATGGCTATAGAAAAAACTAAGATGGACTTTTCCTTATGTTGGGCCTTTGCGCCTAAAGTTTATTACACCACACTCCCATCTTAATTCCATTTTTGCAACAAAAAACAACACCATGGATCATTTCTGCTGGACCTAGCGCCCAGACTGCTTCAACACTCCTGGATTTCGACTTGCATCCCCTTGGACCTTTTTTTCTATTTGTAATTCTTTTTTATTGATTTTTGTTAGTTATTTTAATTTATTTGAATTTTCTTCACATGATAAAAATAATAAAATCAATAAAATTTGTTAGATTTTTTTAATTTGATTTTAGGAATTGATTCACGATTATCCGATTACTTGAGATTTGTGATTCACCTTTGCTTGTCGAGATCTAATTCTTATGCAGGTTTATTGTGTGATATGCGGATATGCTTGAGATATCGATTGTGATTTTTTAACATCGTCGATGCTTCGACACTTATTTCTAGCATTTGAATTCTGACTACTCTTTGTTGCTTGGTGAAGCTTATTCGAAGTCTTCTGGGTTTCTCTACTTTGCTTGTTGTGCTACGAACTCTTGTTCGTTTGGTATCATTCTGATTTTGTTTTATCTCATTTCAGTACTTTACTGCTTTCTAGATATCATGATAAGTAGGAAATAAAGATAGTGCGCTTGAAGTCACAATTTAAAGTCCTGTAGCAGGCACCACTTTTTGTATGTTGTTTATGTTTGTTTAAAACCTTATCATTCAAGTAGGTATTCTGCAGGTGTGTTTACATTTGTGCTCGCATATATTACATATGATAAGTCCTCCAAAGGAGGTGAGCGGAAAGGGTTAGTATCCGACCCTCACATATTCTAGTCTGTGTTATCCTTAGCTCACGGTGTACGTTGATGCTTCGAATTTGTACAGATCTTGGATATCAAGTTGGTTATGTGGAAAAGAGTTTCGTCCTAACCCCCACACTTTGTCAGGAGTTCTCAATGGCCAATGCTGACACTCCACTACCCTCTTGTTTGCTTCGGGTGATTTGCTCCCCTTAGCTAAAGCATTTATCTTCTTTTCTTATTTCATCTCTCTTCTGCTTGTTTGCTTCGGGTGATCTGCTCCCCTTAGCTAAAGTATTTCTCTTGATTTTACTTTACCTACCTCGATTCGCGATATCTTGGTTAGGCCATTTTGCTTGAGCTAGTGTGCACTACTCTTGCCATGTATGTGCTCCCTTTGTTCGAGCTTTCTACTTTGATACGCATTACTCTCATCATGTATGCACACTTATTTGCTTGTTTGGGATACACTACTCTCGCCATGTACGTGATTCCTTTGCATGCTTTCTTTGTATATACCATGCTCCCTTAGGATATGCTTGTTTCTTTCCCGATTCGAGCGAGACCTTAGGATAGTAATCCAGGCATGCTAACATTGATAGATATTTCCCCCTTTATCCTTGACATAAGGCCATCATTGTATGATAACATTATGGATTAGATTCTAGATAGTCTCCCTTAGATGTTTTCTTTCTTTTTGCATCACTGCATTTAAAACTAAAACTTTTTTTTTCCTTAAACTAATAAAAACACTCTGTAACAACTTAAACCCTTTCTTAAGGTAAAAAACACTAACCAACTCCTTTATTTTTTCCAATTGGCTTTTCTCTTCTAAGAGCATGTTAGTTCATTTCCACTACAGGTCGTAAGAGTCGTATCCCAAATTTTCCCTATCTTTACGATTATATTTTCAAGATTAAAATAGAAGAAAAATACTTTGGTTAAAGATGGTCCAACAATATCTGATGGCCCATTTTTATAAATCCTAATCAACAGTGAGGTGTGTCTTAATCCAAGGGAGTGGGGCTTTCTAAATCAGAAAGACTCATATACCCGTAAGCCTATTTGCAAAGCATGTTGGTCAATGGTCCATGAGATGTGAATATGGAGAATTATTTCAGAAAAGAATTAAATTTTAATTATAAGAGCCCACTTAAATGTTTTGTTGTTAGTAAAGAAAAAGGGAGTGAAATGGCAATAAGAAACTCATAAGAATTCGTATGGCCCATTAAGATTTTCAAAACTAGCCTATTTGGCATTTTTATTATTATTATTGAAACATTGTTTTACTGATTATATATATATATATATATATATATATATATATATATATATATATATATATATATATATATATATATATATATATATATATATATATATATATATATATATATATATATATATATATATATATATATATATATATATATATATATATATATATATATATATATATATATATATATATATATATATATATATATATATATATATATATATATATATATATATAAACTATTTATTAATATAAGGCCCAAATAGAGGTCTGCTGTAAGAGAAGGGGGTGAAAATTTAAATTACAGACCCATTAAGTAATTAGCCCGTTTTGTTATTACTGTTTTATTGTAAAAAAAATTACTAAACATTGTCTTGATCCTATCAATTATTTTTTTAAAAAAATAATATTTTTTATCTATCAAAAGATTTATTATAATAATTTTTTTTAAAAAAAAAAAAGATACTTTATTAGATAATATTTTTTTGTAATGTTTGAAAACAATGTTTGGTTTTATAAAAAGGCATGTTGTATAGGCTCAGTCCGTATTGAAAAAAAGAGTCTTCGCAGTAAGCAAAAAAAGAGAAAGGTTGGCTAAGATAACGTATTGGGTTAGACAGCTTGAGGCCCAATAGCCTGTGTTTGCAGATATGTTATGCAAGGCCCAAAAAGTAACTAACGGATATTGTATCAATTTTACCAAAATATGCGCATGTTTTTATCAAATAACATATACTGTACAAATTAAAATATTTCTTTTCCTAGACTTTTGTTCAAAAACTAAAACAATATCAAATCAAATCCAAAATTAAATCTCAATCACGGTCAAAAACTGAAATATACTAAATCACATTTACTGTTTATTGCAAATACAAACAGAATCAAATCTCTACGAAATCTGAATCCCAATTACATCTCAATCAATAAAATTGAATATACAACAACAAAATCAATTATAAATAAATCACAAACCCTAAAATTGTTCTAAATCCCTAAATTTGTGCTAATTGATTCGTAACAGTAATCTTGTGAAACCATAATCTTAACCCTATAAATACTGGGGGAAAATACAGAGAAGCGGGGGGGGGGGGGGGGGGGGGGGGGGGGGTTCGAAGAAACGAAAAGGAGAAATTGAAGAAGAATATACGAAGACCTCGCGGTTGTTGAAGACGAAGAGAGGAGCGATTGGGGTTTCAACATCTGAAACCCTAATCACCATTGTCGTTACC